GTTTTTGTTTGCAGGAGGTCATTCTCTTTGTCTGCGATCTAACATGGCTCACATGCCCCCGCAGCCCCTCGTGGAGCAGGGAAGGTCACAAGATGTCCCTTTGCAAGATAAACTGGTGTTCTCAGCGTAATCCTCTCTGAATGTGTCACACCACGTTATTTGCCCTGGAAGTTTCCATGCAGGTTAAGTTTAGATGCTAAAGTACCTCCAACTCCACCCACTCCAGAAGGTTCTGACATCATTAGTCTAGAAGGTGAGTGGAGGGCTGTGTGTGAGGAATCTGCTATTTAATCAAGTATCATGTTATCAGTCAAAAAAACAAAAGCTTCATCGTTTCTCTTTGGTGTTCAGAATAAACTTTCACTTTCCCTGTAGCATCACCTTATGAGTAAACATCAGAGCCCTTAATCCCCCAGTAATTTCATCAGATAAATGGTGTTTTACTGGCCTTTCTGGGTGTTGAAGACTGTTAAGATAGTAAAAAAAAAACATTAGAAATTTAATAAACAGGAACAAACAGGAGGCCTGATCTTATTGGCATCTTTAATTTTGTGCCTGAACTTGGAATTGCATTTTGGAGTTGCAGAAAGTCTCACAATTTTGTGTTACAGAAGCAAATCCAAGAATTTTTCTCATTCAGTGGAAACCCATCGGGGCATTTCTGGACTCGAATAACATAAATCCCTAAGACAGGGACAACCCAAACCTAATGCCTGTGTTGCGTGAGCTGCTCAGATTAGCTCGCTCAGGTGGGAAGAAATTCATGGTTTCACTTGCATGGGATGTTTTTGGGCCCACACTGGGACTATATCAGTCTCTTCCCATGACAGTGGATGATGGATTAGAGAATTATTTCCAAGGTAATTATTTTTTAAGTTGGAGAATCAGCGTTTCTTTCAGAAGAGCTGTAAACAGATTTATAAAGAAAGGATTTACTAGTTACTGTAGCCCCTTTCAGGTTGAACAGCTAATGATCCCCCAGGTTTGATTGTAACTCTATATAGTGTTTTTTAAATCCTAGTTAGTTTTCTTTTTCCCTTGTGCTAGTGGTATTTTTATGGATTTTTGGGGGAAGTTTGTCCCATAACTAACTTAGAATTTTCTTTTTAAACATTATTTTCATTTCTATGTGTCCGAGTTGCTAAGTGTTACTTTTGAAAGCTTTCCTTCCCTTTGTAAAGGAGATGTACTTACAAACATTCCTTCAGACACTCCTGTTTGCATAGATAACTATGGAACATTAATTTCTGCCAGGTTAAGGCTAGTTTTAAATTTTTTTTTTTTATTAGATTGGGCCATCACAGGAACATACCTAGATTGTTGGTTGGATTCTAGCTTTTTTCAATTGGACTCTCATGAAGACAGCAAGGTGTGGTACAACACAACAAGGAGCAGTCAGAAGAGGAAGTTGAACTCTTGCCAAAACCAGAGTACTTCTTCCTTTTATTCATGTGTCGTGTTTGAGCCTTTTTTACTGTATCTGCTCCCAACACGCTGCGTTGTGTGACCTTTTTTATTGCACGTGTGTAACGTCACTGATTTCAGTAGAGCTGCTTGTGTGGAGCTTGCACAGGTTGATGGAGTGACTACTTTTCTTCTCTAATCCTTTCCGTTCCCCACATCTTTTAACAGTGTTTCTTAACTTTAATAACTTCAGGTTTGTCAGGTTTAACCCTGTCTGTTGTCCTTCTGTACAGAAGTTGGTGAAATAACACTGAGTGACAGGACCATCCTCCATACGGCCATACTCCAGGAGTTAGTCAGTGTGTTTGTCTGCCTCGGTTTTGTTTGTTTTTAATATTCTGAAGGTGTCAGCCAGCATCTGTTCAAGTTAGTGGCTACTCTCAGATTGACTTCAGAGGGAGCAGAATTAGACATTAGTTAAAAATAACAGCATTTTATTTTGTTTGGATGATATTCTTTTAGCTGGGAATGAAATATGTTTTGAAATTGATGGAAGCTGTGTGCTTCTTTATACAAACATGGAATCTAGTGTCTATATATTTTTAAGGACGTCATCACAAGATGGAGTTGCAGCTGTCTTGTTCTCCTTTTTTGCTCTGTTATGTTCTTCTCATCTGGTTAAAAATAGCCCAAGAGGAATCAGTCTTGACTGAGCACTTCCTCTTTCAAACTACTGATTTTTAAAAATTGTATTAAATCATTTATAAGAACATGCAATCAGGAGCAGTGTTTTTTTGCTGCAATACAGTGAGCTGTATACGGCAATTCTGTTTCTTGCAGTTATTGGCAGACCGCACCTTTCCTGTATTGAGTGGTTAAATAGATTTATTGGGAATTTGCAAAAGTTCATAGTATAGGAAATGATGTAATTTGAACATTAGCATTACTAATTTTCTCCATATCTTATGTATTTTTGCATTTTTAAAGTTCTTGAAAGCTTTAAGTCTGCTATTATTTGTTTCTGAGGAAGAAGCTCCTGCGCCTGCAGAAAACACGGCGCAGGGCTGGTGCTGCTTTAATCTGTGAGAGGGAGAGAGACACTTGATGGCACAACCACAGAGTCCTCACTTCTGATTCAGAATCAAAAGCCAGATCCAGGTTTTGTGCTTGGCTTCTGTCTGCAATGAGTTGATTTAGACAAAGTTATTGATTGAATCTCTATACTCAATTTACTTTTTAAGAGGTTTGAAACTTCACTGCTGCTTGGGCTCCCTGGCCAGATCCACATGGTCACCAATGGGTAATACAACATGTGAACGTAAGGCTTGATGCCAGAGTGTTCTTGGGAGCTAATTACCTGCTGGCTGTGATGTCAGAGCATGGATTAGGAGGATCACCTGGGATTCTGGGAGCAAAGTAACATTGCACTCCCCATTACCCCTTCTGCAAGGTGCAATCTAGAGAATACACTTTTCTTTTTTTATTCTCTAAATCAGGCTCTCTCAAGAGACAGTTGGGCTGCAGAGTCTGACGAAGCTGAGTTAGGCTGAACAGCTGTGTGTTCCAAACCTGTTTCCTGAAGATCCTATTTTATTAAGTTAGCAGGTCAGGTAATGAAGTACCTCAAATGATAACACTTTGCTCTGCATATCTGACAATATAGTCAGCCACAAACCTGCAAAGGGCACACGGGCAGAACTCCCCTGGGCACCAACGTTTCTGGAGTTAGGTATGTGGGTGCTGCTTAGCTTTGTACTTTCACACAGACAGACTCACAGAATGGTGGGGTTGGAAGGGACCTCAGGAGATCATCTGGTCCAACCCCCCTGCCAAAGCAGGGTCACCTAGAGCAGGTTGCACAGGAAACTGTCCAGGCAGGTTTTGAACATCTCCAGAGATGGAGACTCCACAACCTCTCTGGGCAGCCTGTCCCAGTGCTCTGTCACCCTCACAGTAAAGAAATTTTTCCTTAAGTTTGTCTGGACCTTTTAGTGTTCCAGTTTGTGCCCATTGCCCCTTGTCCTGTCACTGGGCACCACTGAAAAGAGCCCAACCCCATCTACTTGGCCCCCACACTTCAGATATTTATAGACATTGATCAGATCCCCTCTCAATCTGCTCTTCTCCAGGCTGAAGAGTCCCAACTCTCTGAGCCTCTCCTCATATGGGAGATGCTCTATTTGTCTTGAAATATTGCAGATCATGGACTTATAAAAGGAAAAGGTGATTTGATTTCTGTTAACAATAGAGACTAGGAGAAACTGAGATATTCAGAGCCCAAGAAAGACTAAAAATGCCAGTGGAAAATATTCTGAGCTCAGTAGGTTTATTTCACTCTATCAAAGGGTGAAAGGAAGAAATCATTCAAGTGGGCATTGTGGGATCCCACTCATGGCAGGGTGGAGACCAAGCCAGTGATAAATGTTAAAGGTCAGAGCATTGCAATCTAATCAGTACAGGGTGATCCCCAGACTTCTTATCGCAGGCACGTTTAACCTTTTATTCTTGCAAGGGGCCTTTGAAAGGGCAGGGGAAGGAGTGAACTTGAGAGGTTACACATTCAGTTAGGTAGCTGCAAGGAATATGCTGTGCTGAACTGCTGCTTTGAACCATTTTGGAAAAGAGAGATACTTTAAATGATTTTAATTATCAGAACTTCTACTTAAGTGAAATTAAATCTGTTTCTCTTTTTGCTAGTGTTGAATGTCAACATAATAGTTAATGTCAGACCTTAAAGGAAAGCATTGAATTCAGAGAGGACTGCTTTTCCCAGAATTGCCCATTAAGCTAGGAGTACATGAAACGTTCAGTAATTATATCCCAGGTCCTATGTCTTGAAATTAAAATAAGTGCAAGAGTGAACAACACTGAAATGCTGAGTTTGGGTTATGTGTTACTGTGTTTTATACTGGGAGGAATATGTAAGGAACCAGATCCTTTCCAGCAAGGGTTTACTTGTTGTATTACAAAATTATATCCTAATGACACCACTCATCACTATTCTTAAAGGTACTGAAGTGACGCAGATGTTGATGGGAGGGCTGAGGTGGGTTTGTGTTGTTTTGGCTTCATTCTTGCCCCAAGAACTGCCTTCCAATTATTTTTCTGTCTCAGTTTCTAGAGGTAAATAATGATATCCTGTAGCAGAGGTCTTTCACTGTTGCTGAAAGTCCTCAGCTACATCCTAGGACTTATTTGTGTTGCAGTATTTACCTTCAGGAGCAGCATTCATTGTGTAAATTTTATCATGCACAAATGAGAGAGAATCGTGTCCAGGGATTGACTTTTAAACTATAAACAGGTGAAAGTGGCTTCCTCACCTTGCCTTCCAGAGCAGACACAAGAAACAGTTGGAGAACTAGGACAGTTCAGCCTTGTTTGATGAAGGGAAAGCATTAAAGGCTTCTGTATCATTTACTGTGTACACGGAATTTATTCATACAGCCCCTGTAAAGCTAGCAGGAGCTACGGGCACATTTAGTTTGCCTTGGCACCACCATCTCTTTTACTGATGGAGATTCATCACCAGTTTGTTAAGGAATTACTGCTGGTTTTCTTGAGTAATCCTCAATCTTCCCTTTCCCTCCGCTGTTCAGTGCCTGAAGAACAGCTGCACAACATCGATGAGTATGATCTCAATGTCGTCCGCCTCTGCTTCCAAGCTTTCCTCCCAGATGAACATGGCAACTACACGTTAGCTCTTCCTCCTTTGATTTCCAACCCCATCTATGACAACAGTAAGTACCAGCTCAGTCAAATGTGTGTTTGGTTGGGTTTTTTTTTCCCCTTTTGATTTTTTCTTTTCCTTGGGATGAAAAATGCCAGGCCAGTTTCTGAGGTCTGTGCCAGTCTTCTGGGCTGCCTCTGTGGTTTGGGACTGCTAGATGAATGTCTAACACATGGCAAATCAGTGAGTATATACTGGAAAGATAATCCCAGGGTGTTGGCCCACCAGAGGAAGAACTGTCTGTCACATCCACAGACTCATGCACAGGTGCTTTTTCAGCCCTTGTTCACATATCACAGCAATGACTGCAAGGGAAGACCTGCTCCTGACGTGCCAAGCGATTAAAATAAATAGCACTGAGATAGATGGCTGCCATAAGACTGATCTGTTTCCAAGGATCAGTCCTTGGGTTTGGCAGCCTCTTTGTACCCGTGAGGAGGAGTCTTGCCTTTGCCTTATGAGGGCTCTGGAACAGGACTCGTGAGAGAGATTTATCCCAGTGGGGAAAGCTGCTTTAACACTTTCATTTTTATATATATA